AAAGATGTTCAAATTTGTATTTTAAAAAATCAAGATGTGTATAAGAGACAGCCCCTTCCGTTTGTTAAGTATTAAAAATAATAAAAAAAAATTAGAAATTTTAAATTTTACATTATTAGCAAAATTATAAATTTTAAAAATTTTCAAATTGTGCAAGTGCATTTTTTTTAACATTTATTTAAAATTTCAACTCTAACCTCTAAAAATGCGAAAAATCATAAAATCACCAAAGCATTCAGTAATTTAATTCTTTGACTTTTTTTTTTTTGCTTAACTTAAATTTAACTAAAAAAAATTTTGAAAATAATGAAAAAAAATTGGGGAAATTTAAATTTTTTTTGTTGGCTGAAATACTATAAATTTAAAAACTATTATTTTAAAAGATGAAGCATAATCTAAGAATAATTTTGACTTATTTTTGACAAATTATTTTGCTTTTAAGAATTTTACAGCTGTCTTCGTAACAATCCATTAAAAATAGTCCACAAATGTCTAAAAACTTCAAAATAAATTCCATTTTTTTAGTAATCTAAAATTAAGAAAATCTGGTTTTAGCACAACACACATATACATACATATTTTATTGTTTATATTAGCATATATAAATAAATATTGTATTAAATACCCGTACATATGCATGTATGTAAATAAATTTATAATAAATAATAATAATACTAATTATTTAAAATGATAAATAATTGAGATTTATTATTAAAGCAGCAAGAAAATTTGCTAAAAAAAAATATACTAACGAAATAACTATTGTCACAAACTAAGAGAGCGAACTGTGGAAATAAATAACAAAAAAAATACTTTTTTAAACAAAAAATTGGTTGTTTGTTACTTTTTTAAACAAAAAAAATGCAAAAAAATTTTTGGTATGAATTGACTGCTAAAAGCTGGCAAATTTAGTTAAAAATTTATCCTTGAAGCATGTAAGTATAAAAAAAGGAAAATTTTAAGCAGTAAGTTCGTAAAAACTGCACAACTATTATTAAATACAGACTTAAATTGATTGCAAACATTTATTTTAATTGTTTTGCAAAAATATTTCATTAAAATACACCAAATAACTGAAATAAACGATAAAATCCAAGAATGTCGCATTCAACACAAGTTTAGCAAGGACACAAACCCTCCTCGCTAACTGCATGACGGCCAAATTTTTGTCGTTTTTAAACAGCCACAAATTCACTAGGCGAACATAAACGATCAGACGGGCGCCGACAGTAGCTGACAGCGATCGCAGTCTCCGGCACAGCAGCACTTTTTGTAGCAAAAACAACACCAGGTTTCACTTGCCATTTGGTTCTAACTATAAACAAAGGCAAGTGTCACACATGCCATAGAAAGTAAGGGTTGCCAAATTTTCTACATATATTACATTTATAAAATTTAGAAAGAAAATAATTATTTTTTTATTTATATTATTAGAAACAATTTATAATAAAAGATACAAATAATTTCAACTTTTTATTAATTCAAAATAAAGAAAAATAAACTTGAAGCTCAAAAAATATGCTTAACAAAAATTATAAAAATTTGTCTTTAAATGCATTTAAAATAAAAAATAAATAAAACACAACATCCAGGACCGCGGAACCCTGTAAATCGCTGAGACTCGAAAAACCGCCATATCAACAAAACACCAGGCAAACATAATTACTGTAGGCCGCTAGGATTCATAGGCAGTGATTATAAGAAACTGCTTACGGCTGATAAACAACAACAAAACATTTCATTAATCATCTATTTCGCGGTGTACAAACAAAAAGGAATGCCATTTTCCGCCATTCTCATATGTAAACATATTGATATAAAACATATCATAGCATGGTTGCCAAGCTCACATATTCAACTTCCAAAAATAATTTGCCGAACATTCAGAAAATTATTTTTTTTTATTTAAAAAACAATAGAAAATTTTAATAAAATTTTTAGCAATTTTCCAACAAAACAAATAATTTTTTTCTTATTTTTTCTTCCTCAATTATAAAAATAAAAATTCAATTTTTATATATTGCGTAGAAATTTGATATTGGTTTCGACGGCGAGCCTTTGTTAGGCATTGTCAGTAAAGCTACAGGTGTTGAGCTTATTATTTTTAGGACCATATGTCCACAATTCCTCTCCAACGTCGTCAAGTTTGTCACAGATTGATATTTTAGTTATATCGAACTTCGGAAGTCGTTGTTTGAGGTTTTCTGCTATGTATCGCAACGCACTGGCAGGCAAATTTCGTGGACGCTTATTCCAATATCACCTTTTCATGGAAAAATCAGAATAGCTCTCTAGATCTAGTTGGAGATAAACATGACATTTTAACTTATGCTTCATTTTTTATAGCTTCGCACTTACAAAAAAGCTTCGCGCAGTCCCAGCCAAGGCAGTTTGCCCAGCCTGAATGGCATAATGCAAATCTCCGGCATGGAACAATATGCTTCGCTGCGTCATCCCGATGGTGCTTTCGATCCAAATTTGCCAAAAGCTGAGAAACCTTTCGTACTGGAACTTGAAGACATCAGGGTAGTCGACGAAAAGTCCACATTGTTATCCGCCACCAAGCGATCTTCATTCTTATGCAGTATGTTGACTGCAATCCTTTACTTCACAAGTCCATTGATTTAGCTCAACAACAAGACTTCGTTTCACTTTTCTCATGATCTCGAAACATACAAACAGATTTTACCGCTAGTGTAAAATAGAAAGACAAAAATAGGGTTACCAAGTACCGCATATTTTTTGTTAATTTCTCCACTTATCTTCGCTGTAGTATAGTAAATATAGTATTGTAAAGAGTGACCATAAATTATGGAAAAATTTAAAATATTAACAACGCGAAAACACACAAATTCACAGCTGGCGGTTTAGGCTTAGTAAAAATGTCTTCATTATTGAACAAATCCGTCCACTGTCTGTGTGTCCTTATTTAATTTTTGTACACACACACCATTCCAGGAAGCATAAATAAATAAATTTTTAATTTACCAATGATCAGCCAGGCGCACATGAAAGTATGAATAGTAATAGGCAACTGCGTTATTGTTTGAAAGAGTCCAACAACAAAATCGCGATCTGATTTCACATATGCCCATCTAAAAAAAATTTTCTGAGGAATAGGGCTGCCAATAATGAGAGAATTATACTTTAAAAATTTATTCATTTAAACGGTCTTTCTCAACAAGAAAAACGTAAGGTTAAATTGAAACAAATCAATCAAATTGGTTTTCCAGTTATTTTTGTTATGCAGTTTTATGTCATTTAAGCTTCGAACAAAATACCGGCCAAATGGTCACACAGTTCCATTTGCATATCGTCACTCTTTTACGCCAGTTTTTTAGAATCCGGAGCATAATTTTTCGCCTGAATATGTCTTCGAGCTTTCCGATCGTTGACGTAAACCTTTGATTTACCATACTCCTATAGAAAGTAATCCAGAGACGTTAAAACATGTGCTCTTGGCGATCATTTGACCGTCAGATTTTTCGAAATTAATGAGTCGCCAAACTATGCAGCAAATGTGTCCATTTTTAGACTTGAAACAAGAGATGGAGCTCCGGCCAAATGGTCACCACACTTCCGTTCGGATATATCCAATCGCCAAGTTTGCAATGATCCAGTGTAGTATTTGGGCTGGAATTTCTCCTAAAAGCGGTCTCCCGACTTGTTGGAAATAAAGATCGTCACCGTCGATTTCAACAAATTCCCAGTAAAAAAGTCTGTCAACATCGTTTTATAACGATCGATACTATCGAAAGAAATAAGGCCCGCTTACGTCACCATACCACAATCAGTACCAGACGGTAAATTCTTCGAGATGAAAGTGTATTTTCGAAATAACACAAGAATTTTACTCACCCCCATGCTACTATTTTATTTGTTGACAAAGCCAGTAAGCCAAAAATGGGCCTCATGTGAGAAGTGAATTTTCCAATGAACGTTTTGCAATGTTTTTTTTTCGATAATATGAACTTGCGTAGTAGTCTAGGATAATCTTTAAGGTGAATGAATATGCTGAAAAAATTTTCACAAATCCGTAAATAAACAAGTCTGCCTGACACGAACT